AGAAGGATGACCCTGTTTCAAATATGAAGTTGTGCGCAAGAACCTCAGAAATCCCTCCTTCTGCGAATCGCGCTTATAAACGCGACTAGTGTTTAACATGGCCATCTCCCAGAATGGTCCTGCTTCCAGCGTCACATGGAAAGTTTTCGGTCACGATTGAGCAATGATTTTCGTTCTTTGGAGGAAATGAACTCGCGTGTGTAAAAGTCTCGTCAAAAGGGATATCGCTCAGTTTCGCCCGAGAGAAAATCAGAGCAAACTCAAAGCCATCACGATTTTTAGCTCACACATGATAACAGCATTTGGAGATAGCACAAGAATCAACAACATTCAAAAATACATTCCATAATGTTATGAATACTGTCAATTTTATTGTCTAAAAAATGATAAACAACAAGATAAAGCTTTGTATGTAGTGAACAAATAAACTATACCGGTCTTTCATGGTTCCCACTAAGATGGAACACAACTATGTAAGCAGGCGCATGCAACAATGAATAGAAGAATGGAGGCAAATTACGAAAGTACATAAAGTAACAGCATACACAAATAAGGCCAATCCGTCAATGCATCTGACCCTTCCTAGACTGAAAAGTTGCGGAAACGGAGATTCAACATAACAGGTTACACGATAACATTACAAAACTAATAAACTAGTGAGATTCTGATTTAGAGAACAACAATGAGTATCAGAGTTTTTTATGCAGTACTGCATAGTCGCCAACTGCAATCAAACCAGCAAGCATTTCTTCACCTGAAAATGTTTTGAGCTTCTCTCAATCTGAAATATGAATTAAGTAAAGAATTTGTAGCACACCTGTGGGTTTGATAAAATGTGGCGGTAAACTGAAAGCATAGGTGTCGTGTGAATCCAGCGGTCGCAGTTCAACTCCAAAGATGTACGGTACTCCACGATCTTGCATATAGTCTATACTAGTGCCCGAGGCAGGATCTACAGTACCACTACTAATATTGCCTCAATTTAAAAAATCGAAAATATTCACTAACACATGAGTTCGGCTATTGTTCCATAGTTATATTCTGCTCCAGTTTTGTTACGCATCGCTGCCACGGCTATTTGTGCTGCATTGCGCTGAAGCAAGCATCAATTGAATTAGCATTGAATACTACATGAAGCAAATTTTGCTTTTAGCACCTGGTCTAGGTAATTATCTGGTCGAGTATGGGTATAACCCCAAGGCGACAGCAATAATTGCCCATATGAGTGTAGACTGGCATAAATGATCAGGTTAGGAATTTGCCATGTGACAAGATCCCTTAGACCTGAAAAGCTCTTAATGAATGATATTTTCAGATGCAACCCAAACATTGTTTTTGTCTTTTTGTTGATTTTTTTTTTGTTTATTTTTTGAGCACAGTCGTGATTTGGAAAAGGACTAATCGCATACTCACATATGCTCCCATCGTTAACATCATGGAAAGTACTACAACACTAGCAAAAAAGTCCACGTATAGGTGGCACAATAACAAAAAAGAAAAAAAGATGCTTGACCCACAGTCAAGCTCTTTGAAAAGTAATTTCGCCTTTTTGAGCAAGCACCACATAGCACAGAACAAAGTCTTATAAAAGATGTTAGTAGTTTCCGATGCACACAG